TGGTAAACAATAATCTTGGCAAGGATCCTAAACAATTTTGAACGAAAAAAATTCCCAGAAATGATCTTTAAGAAATTAGGTTGGTAGGTATATAGTTTAGAAGATTATGTAGCCTTCAGATTGATTAGTCATAATGATCTTCAGTTTAATACTATGACTGTTAATCCAAGCCAGACAATAATTCTTATCAAAGACGTTTATCCACTACTTTTTAAAATGTAAGTAGTTTAAATCGTTTTGCAGTCTTGCTTGAAATGACCTTAATGAATACGTGGAAAGATTACGGATAAAAATGAAACGCTTAAATTATCTGTTTTTGACCTAATAATAAAACAACTAAATCTATGTTTGCATTGTTACAGTCAACTCACGTGACATAATACATTTCTGTAAATGCAAGACAATATAACTAAATATTCATTCATCACAAGATATGAAAAGGAAGAACCAACAGTTTATTCAATTTATATCTACTAAGAACAAAAACTCTCATCTATTTATCAGTCTTATAAAGACACAAAACCTGATTCAAGTCGATAACAAATTACTAATGGATTACTGATTTCAGTGTGAACAGAAGATTTGTATCACAAGATTTCATACTAAAGATTAGTAGAAATAGATCAACTTGTTTATTGAATAGCATACATTGAATACTCAAGAAATATATGTTTTGAGTTACATATGTTGGACTCTTATAAATATGATCTTTTTAGAAGGTATTCATCAAAACCAAGAAGTTATTGGCTTATTTACTTAATTCATATAGAGGAAGCTAGGCTCATTTTATCGAGTTCATTTCCAGATCTTTTAGAAAAGTGATAGATGTATATATGGTGGGGAATGTCTGTATCTCATGTGATACCTTCTAACAACTCTACAAATTAGTCGAAGACTTGTTTTTTCTTTAAACATATTCCGCAAGAACTTCAAACATGAACACACATATTTAAGATGGAAGGAAAAAGAGCAGTAACAACGAAATTTAAACAAATTGATGAATTGTTTGCTTTATACCTCTGTACCCATAAAGTATTTATTGTTTGACTTTTTTGTGATAATAAACACATTGTCTAGTTGAGGAAATCAAACTATCAAAGGATACAGAAATGGTATACCTATTGAAGTCATGTTTATTTGCTTCAGTTTACACTTATTTATTTGAAAACATAAATACTGGTACTAAGCGGCATCGAATAAAGATGTGCCACACAAATCACTTGATTTGTATGTGGGCTGCTATACCGCCCGGGTGCCCAAACCAAAACAGGGGGTTTTCTTAGAGGACCACACCGCAAACCTTCGACCTAAAGGTCAGAACCATAAGGCAGTGGAGCAACGTCAAGAAATGCAGTTCCATAGTAACCAGTGACCAACAAGAGGTTCATACACCTTTTGTCACCTCAGGATACTGGAGCCCATGTACACCATTGATTTGGAATCAGGATTTTTCAACTCCCCTAGGTGGTTCCTCTATATCCAGCTTATACGATCATACATTTTACCTTTAAAGATAAAAATATGTAAGTAATTACTCATATGTAGTTGTTTTATTTAAGTACAATTAAATATAAAATGCTACTTAAAATATTAGTCTAAAAAAATTTTAAAAAGCAACAACTGAATGACTATGATTAAACCAAACAGTCTTAGTAAACTATACACTAAAGAAAAAATAGATTAACTGGACTTTTACTAATAACCCATAAATTGTCAATAAAAAATATCATCAATAAGGAAGGGATCATGAATTGAACTGTTAATGGTGATTAAGTTAACTCTTTATTCTTTAATATATCATCTAAATCAATATTATTGTCACAAACAACAAACGTGTCGTCCATGTATCTCACGTATAGGTGGAATCGATTGATCATTGAACGGAGTTGGTCGTTTTCTACTTTTGCCATGAAACAGTCTGCTAAAATTGAACCCAATGGAGACCCCATTGCGATCCCATCCCTTTGTCTATATATTTCATTATTGAAACTGAACTGGACATTAAAAGTACAGCGTAACAATAATTCTTTCAAGCGTTCAGTTGGCAAACCTAGATCTATATTGTTAGAATCAATATACTCACATATATAACATATTGTTTCGGTTAAAGGTACGCTAGTGAACAAAGAATTAACGTCAAGCGAGAACATGTGTTTTTCGGAAGCATTAACGTCCTTAATACGATCAATAAATTGAAAAGTATCATGAATAGAATGTTTACATACTTGCCTTCTAACCGGTTCCAATTTTTCCGCTAACCATTTGGCGATTCTGTGGTATGGAGAACTTGACATGTACAATTCGAAAATCTATCAAATCAAACTCATGATCTTATGCCGACATCTCCACAAAATCTCCAGCACTTTAAGTCCACATTACTGGACTGCAGTCATGGATTCGTTAATGCACATTGTAGTAAGAATAACCTATTAACTAAGAACCACTTGGATCAGCTAATACTGTTGAAAAGAAATAAGGATTTAATCCTAAGTAAACCTGACAAAGGAGCTGGTGTAGTACTACTTGACCGCAAAGAATATTTGGATAAAATGAAGTTAATTCTAGAGGATGGTACTAAATTCTCCAAACCTAAAGAAGTTGATAAAACATTACAAATCGAAAAACAGCTAACAGATGTTAAAAATCTTAAGAATAAGGGGATAATAACCCAAGATTTATATAATCACATGCGTCCCATGGGTTCAGTCATCCCGCGCTTATATGGACTACCGAAAATACATAAGCCGGGTTTACCGTTACGACCTATTTTGGACATGTCAAGTTCTCCATACCACAGAATCGCCAAATGGTTAGCGGAAAAATTGGAACCGGTTAGAAGGCAAGTATGTAAACATTCTATTCATGATACTTTTCAATTTAACCGAAACAATATGTTATATATGTGAGTATATTGATTCTAACAATATAGATCTAGGTTTGCCAACTGAACGCTTGAAAGAATTATTGTTACGCTGTACTTTTAATGTCCAGTTCAGTTTCAATAATGAAATATATAGACAAAGGGATGGGATCGCAATGGGGTCTCCATTGGGTTCAATTTTAGCAGACTGTTTCATGGCAAAAGTAGAAAACGACCAACTCCGTTCAATGATCAATCGATTCCACCTATACGTGAGATACATGGACGACACGTTTGTTGTTTGTGACAATAATATTGATTTAGATGATATTCTACATACCTTTAACTCGCGCCACCCTTCTTCAATATATATTGAACTTCTATCGATAGGTATAAACTCTACAATAAATATAGTCTATAACAATGCTATACTGTATATAATTTATTAACTCCAGTCAGTCATTCGTCCCAGAGAATTCCTCGTCGAGCATTATTTGCCAACGCTCGGACCGGTTGAAAAAAAAGGAGAGGTGGTCAGTGTATGACATGGTGTCGTGGTATGAAAGGAAGCTGCAAAGGGCTGGCTCCTGTTGGTCCTTCTCGACTCCCTGGTTGGGGGACCGAGGGATGGTGTAACAGTGGCTAGATACGCTATCAGATATGCCACAGAATAGAAGCCAGTGAAATCCTACTGTAACCTTCTTTTACTTTCTTCATAACAAGTGATTTTAACTTCCTTAACCGAAATTCTTTCTGGTTGTACTTTTCCGTTTCCCCCACTATTATTATCACACTACCATACACTAATCTGTGGTCGTTATTGTTCTCTTTTTTCCTTTCTTTCTGGATGCACCTGCGCCATTGCAAAAGATTTTGAGTCTGTAATGTCGGTTGACATGTTAAGCCCATATATCTTATTCTAGCTTTCGGACAGGCCAATCTATTCATTCTACTTGAGTCACATTCTGACCTTGTTGATTATGCGCTTATCGATCTTGACTGTTGTTATATGAGCGCATATATGTGTGTACACTTCTTATCCTAATCAACACATCTGCAACTTATTTTTGTGCGACTATAAATACTGATTAACGCTTGACTAAATGGAGTGGCTTACCCTTCATCTCCACTGCGCGTTGTTTCGCTTCATATACAAAATATATGTATTCAAAAGTCCATTCTCGTTATTTGGCTTATTTAATTCTGTTATTGACTAACGCGATTTAAGTCGATGATTATATACGAGGATAAGCGACATATATATTTCGACAACGATCATTCATACGATCAAATTGGAGTCAGATCTTGGGCCACTAAAGTGGAGAGCTCGTCAACAAACATCGTCCGATCTAAATGACGACGAAATAAAGGGCCCCACTAAAAGTCATGTCACTCAAGATCCCTAATCATCGGTTGCTGTCGTCTCGCGGATCCCAACCAAGTAGTCTACACCTACCAACATGGCTCAGTTCACTTGGCAATGACTTCATGGATTTGTGCCATGTTTTGGTTCGGCCACCCCTAGCTTTCTTTCAAACTACTCCTACACCATAAAACATCGCATTATATTTTATCATACAACTAATAAGATAAATATCAAACAAAACTATTATCATAGTTATTATTTAAAGATTAAGATCTTGCACATATAATTCAATTCTATAATTGATCAGTTTTATCATTTTTTCAAATATATAATTGAAATGGAATATACTTTCATTATACAAGTAAGGAACTTTCTTTACAACAATACATATAATACTATATGATGAATTCTAACAAATACAATATCTATCTCATATCGATTAAGAAGAAAAGAACAAAAATCAAATAGATATATTACTATACGAAATATACAACACAATATTAAATACATAAAAATTAAACAAGAAAGATGTAAACACAATATTTACAAATAAATATATTTTAATAGTTGAAATAATGAGTCAATTGAAGCTACACGAACATGAAAAACCTGGAAGCACTGGTGGTCTAGCTTCAATTGACTCAACTATTGAAATTTCTTGAATCTCCACAAAACCCTTTCTGATATATATATATATATATATATATATATATATATATATATATATATATATATATATATATATATATATATATATATATATATATATATAGAGAGAGAGAGAGAGAGAGAGGCGTTGTCTTTCTATTACAATAAAGTGATAATCAACCTTTACCCGTTGTATTCCTATTTATTTTTCTTGCTGACATTGAAGAAGTTAAAAACTCAGACACATTATTCCAAAGTAAAATATGATTTGTAATTTGTATTTCTATATGTTTACATGTGCGTATAGAGATAATGGTTACAAAATTAAAAAAAGCAATTGCCACGTAAAACTGAATTGTTATATAGATAGAGAGGAAGTTACAACTAGCATAACAACAACTAATTAATCACTATCTTGGTTATCATCATCACCATTGTTATTGTCAAAACACTTATTATACATAGATTTATTGTCATATAGTTTTGTAGTAATACTTGATAAATTACTACATGTAGACTTTTTCTTCTTATTCATATCTGGTGGAACTGTTAAATCACCAGAATATTTAATCACTTTACCAATAGCTAAACGCCATTCAAGCATAGCAGTAGAGAATTCATCATGACCACCAAGTTCATCAAATCCAATAATACGATCGCATACTTTTTCATTTTTAACAAGAATTAAAGTTGGTATCACTTGAATATTTAATCGTTTTGTTAAAAATGGTGCTTTCTCTGCATTTATCTTTACCATTCTACATTCAATATGTTTTGAAGCTAATAAACTTAAATGTTTATCTAAAATTTTACATCGAAATGTTGAATCACGATAAAAATGACAAACAAGACCAAATGATGATGTTTTACAAGTAGTAAAAAAATCTTTTTCACTTGATAATTCAGAATAAACACCATGTCCCAAAGCTAACCATTCAGAATGTTGTTTTGATTCTTCTTTCATTTGCTTAATTCGAAGTTTACGAATAGCTTCTAAATCATCATCATTTAAATTATCCAAACGATTAATTTGTTCATCTAATGTATCTTCTAATATTTGAGCTGTTTTTATTAAATGAGATTCAATTAACTTTTCATGATTAGTTGTTGGTATTTGTTTCTGTTTGGATGTTTCACTCATACTATCAAACTAAAATTGGAATTGGAAATTATATGAAAATTAAACTTTTAAAGTCAGAATAGTATTAGTGAAGCGGATTAAATAGATAGTGAAGTATGAAATTAAAACATTAAATCTAACTCGTAAAATTGATAATAGCAAGTTAGTTTTAAAATAGTACGCTGAAGATACGGGATATTACTTAAGAATTAGAAGAATATTCACCCATAAAATATAATCTAAATGATTATGTTGGATAGGATGCTAGAACTAAAAAATGAGAATATGATATCGTTTCCACTGAAGATATTTAGAAAGTAAATAACACTGGAACAGATGCATTCATTGTTTGTCTTCTTTTAATATGCGAGTTCCAAAATCTTATACCTTTTTACTTTTTATATACCCAATCTTTTACACTACTAGTGATACTATTACCACTACTACTACTACTCTGGGATTTGAAATAATTTTATCTCGCTTGTGGTATGGAAACTTGAATCAACGTACCCAAGTCAAATTCTATGTTTTGTACGACTGACTGACCCAGTATTTTGGATGAGTAATTAAAGATTATTATCATTATTATTCAAGCACACAAATATAGGTACAAAGAGGCACCAAACAGATATATGCCACATAAATCACTCGATTTTTTACCGATTGAATAATGTAAAGTTAATTTGGGTTAATTTTATTACCATTAAATGTGTCGAATTAAAATACTATAATTGTTTACTAACATGTTGGATAACTAAATTAATCTCAGTGACCTAATTGAAGCCTAAATTTATTGATTAAATGATGAAGTTTTTAATTTATTTCAACTAATTCATATGTGATTACTTTGGTATTTTTTGTAATAGGGAAATCCTTTCAAACTTCTAGATCATTTGATGATATTTAAAAGCATGGTTTAGTCTAATAGTCAAAATGTTTTAATTCAATCCGTCTACGATGAGCTTTTTTATTTATTCGTACATTAATTGAAATTCGTTGCATTTAAAGGACATGAATGACACTAAATACTAGTAGCTGCACAATGAATTTAAGCAAATACATATAAAAATTTAATTCGGCTCTTGTGTTATCAAAAAGTTAATGAACACATGTTACACTTGAATTTGAGCGAAATAGAGATGAGTCGATAAATGGAGAAATAAATACATAACTGTGCGGAATATATATGAATGGTACACAAGTCAACAGAAAAATGAAGGCTACGTTCAATTTAATTTGGACTAGTGTAGCATGAGAACAGTGGTAACACTGTAGAATCGGCCAGTAGAGGGTACGGAATGATGTAGATGGTCTGGAAAGAAATCTACACTCGTGCAAATTACATCAATACGATTCTTAAAGTTTCTATGCTACCGGTGTAGTGAAGGAGAACACACAAAATTACAGAGATACTTGGTAAAATAGAAAAAGCATATAGTAAATCGTTAATTTGCAAAATATTAATCCACCATATCAAACCAAATTGTTCCTGTTGCAAACATCAATCCATTGTCTCACATTTCGTTGTTCATGCGTTTTCTTACTAATTGCATCGTGTTTCTGCTCTTCCTTTCTTGATCCCCCTCCCATCTTCAGCTGCCAGACATTACGTTTTTAACTCGCGTTATATGTTACTTATGTCAATATAAGTAGCACGCACCACACTCGTCCTCCCTTTTAATAAGTTGTCGTCGTAGTCTTTCTGATCGCCGTACCGCTGTCTTCTTTGGTGCTTTTCGTGACCCCCACACATGATGATCTTGGAACCATCTCTGCAGTTGACTAGGATTTACGCGCTTCTGTTTGTCTTCTCTCCGGATCGTGTAAACCGAGCCGCGTCTCCCCGTGATAACGTACGGTCCTTCCCACTTTGGGATCAGCTTTCCCGACCCTGCTCCTCCTGCTAAGCTACTTTTTCGTTCTCTACACTTTACTAGGTCCCCCACTGCAAAAGGTTTTCACGTTCTCCTCTGTTGTTCCGCCTTTTTTATGTTTGATATTTGTTTCTTTTCCACGTTCTTTATTGCCTCCCTTCTCTCTTTTATTAACCTTGTTGTCGTCCACTTCTGTTGTTGTGGCCAGGTCTTATTATGCATTGGAAGTCGTGGCTGTCTGCCATACATGAGCAAGAAAGGTGACTTCTTGTTTGTTCTTTGTATAGAGGAGCGATGCGCCAGCAAAATCAATGGTAACTCTCCCAATTTCCTCCTTTAGATGCTAACCATTCCTTTAACGTCCGGTTGTTTCTCTCTGTAAGCCCGTTTGTCTGAGGATGATACGGTGTAGTTCGTATCCTCTTGATGCCAAACTGCTTTAGACAGGCTTTAAACTCGTCACTTTCAAAACAGGGACCCTGGTCAGTTAATATCATCTTCGGTATTCCGTGACACGCTACAATATGCCGGATCACCACTTCGGTCACTGTTCTTGCCCGCTGGTCTGCAATGGGTACGGCATCTACCCAACGTGTAGCATGTCCCGTCATCACTAGCAGGTACTGGTTACCGCTCGCCGTCTGTGGAAACGGTCCCATCACATCCACCGACCATAGATCACCGACTGCAGTTACTGGGATTGACTGTAGTGGCGGTTGTGTGTATCGATTGCTTTTCATTTGTTGACACTGCTGGCAAGTTAACACGTATTCAGCCACATTGTCTCTCATGCCTGGCCAGTATGCACTTTGTCGTAGTAAATCCATCGTTCTTGCGATGCCTGTATGTGATACCTGGTGACACTCGTTTATCATTTTACGCCGCCAGCCTTTCGGGATCACAACCACCCAATTCTCGTCATCGTCCTGCCAGGTCAGGACTCCATATGCGTTCACTGCCAGTCGTTCTTTTTGCCGAAGCAGCGTTATTACCTCCTTGTCCATTGTTCGTTTGTCTACGTCTGCTCCCTCTTTTATCACTCTGATTACCTCTCGAAGGTTAGGGTCAACTTTCTGCTGCCGGATGAGTTCTAATGGGTCTCCCTCTAAACTATTCACCGCGTATGCTGTTAGTGGAAGGTCGGCTTCCATGTCTGGTCTTGACAAGTAATTTGCCATTACGCTTTCCTTTCCTGGGACATGGCCGATACAGAATTCGTACTCTTGCAGACGTGTCATCCATCGCGCCAACTTCCCTCGGGGGTCTCTTGCTGTTTCCAACCACTGCAGGGGTTTATGGTCAGTCTCAATGTGAAATCGCCTACCTAAAAGGTACGGTCTCCATTTTTCTACTGCCCACACGATTGCTAAACACTCCTTTTCGATCGTTGAATACTTCTGTTCAGCGGGTATGAGGACGCGACTCGCGTATTCCACCACTCTATCAGCCTGACTCAATACAGCACCTATACCATGATCACTTGCGTCTGTAGCCATTGTAAACAGTTTTCCGGGCTCAGGCAGTCTGAGCGTCATCTGACGATCGTCTAGCATGTTTTTGATCCGGTTGAACGTTTGTTCGGCGGTCTCAGTCCACGTAAACTTATATAGGGGTGCTGCTATTTCGTTGAAATTCTTGACAAACCGACTGTAGAACGCCGCTCTTCGCAGGAACTGTCTCAACTTCCTTTTCGAATTAGGTGCTGCAATATTTTTTATGGTAAGGATTTTATCCGGCAATGGTTTTATTTCTGCATTTCCCACTTTATGTCCCAACAACGTGACGCTGTTTCGCGCTATCTGCAACTTGTCCTTACTAATTCGAAGTTCAAATTCGTCAATTCGTTTTAAGACCGCTTCCATATGCTTGACGTGATCTGTTTCTGTCTGACTGTGCACAACTACATTGTCGCCATATACCTCGGCATTATCTAGATTCTTGAGCAGTAGTGTCATTAATCTTCTGAACGTAAATGGTGCACCCGCCAACCCGAATGGCATTCGTTTAAATTGATACTGTTTATCACGTGCAGTAAACGCTGTCTTGCTTCGATCGCTCTGTTTTATAGGCAGTTGCCAATAACCTGACCGTAAATCCAGCACTGTAAACACCGTGACATTCTGTAGCCGATCTAATGTTTCCACCACTGTTGGGATTGCACAAAGTTTCAGGTCTGTTATATTATTCAATTCTCTGAAGTCGACACAAAATCTATACTTTCCATTTGGTTTCTTTATCAAGAGTACCGGTGAGCTATATGGGCTGCCTGCTTCCTCAATTATACCTTCTTTCAACATTTTCTGGACCTGACGATTTACTTCAGCCTCTAAGTGCACCGGGACACGACGTGTTGCAAATATATTTACTCGATCGTTCTTTATCGGGATTTCGTGCTTTACTTTGTCACAAAATCCATACGGCTCCCCATCTCCAGTAAACAGTTTCGCATACTTTGTGCATAACTCGTTAGTGTTTGGTTTCTTCGACGAGACGTCCGCTGTCACTCTTATTTCAGCCACTTCTCTACTTTCGTGTATTGGCAATGAACCATACTTTGTGACCACCTTACAGCTTCTTAAGTCAACTATCGCTTTTACTTCTCTTAGGAAATCTGCTCTTAATATCTGTCTCGATAAGCTTGTGGTTACCACGAACGGAAAATTTATATCAGCATCTCCCACTTTTACGATACTGTTAGATACCCCCAACACCTCTAACATATGGCCTCCTATAGTGTGGACAGCTCATGTACACGGCGTGAGTCTCTTACATTACTCTTTGTCTATTAACGATACTGCTGCACCTGTATCAATCAGACAAACTAAATCTCGTTTGTTTATGTTCAATCTCGTATAAACTGCCCCTCTATCTACTAACGCAACAACCCCCAGATTACTAGGATAGAAAGAACACACGTTATAACGTCTAAAATATCTGAGTCTTCGTCTTGTTGGACAGTTTATCTTCCAATGTCCTGTCCCTCCACAAGCGTAACATTTATCGTTCCTTTTATGGTTTACTCGTATTGCTGCAATCTCACACTCCAGCTCCTCAATCTTCTTTTCGACATTATCTCCTGCTTTTCGCACCCGACTGGAGCTACTGCTCGTGTCATCAGCTGACGAGTCACCTTCGCCAGTTCACTGATATCCATCGGTTGCGCTGCGTTTACTAGTTTCAGCTGTTGGGAGACGGTGGCAGGCACACTCTCGATAAACTGCGACGCCAACAACTGTGCCTTCGACTCCTCATCCAGATTCGGCAGCGCACAGCGTAACAATATAAGTAACACGCACCACACAGGGTTTTTAGGATAGATAAGGTCAATTTGAAAAACTTAATCTCTATTTCATTCAACATTAACAAACTCAACTAATCAAAGTTCTCACGCGGCATTAGTAAAATAGGGGAACCAAACAGAAAGGAGTAAATATAGTCAGGGCGAAATAAGAAGGACGAAGTTTGATCTTAATACAAACTAAAGAAAAACAGGAAACAAAATAAATGAATAAATTAACTGAGGTGGAGCAGAAATATAAGGTCAAGGATAAATGCCAGTTAATAAATATTCTTTAGCTCGTCCACTCTTTCCTCTTAATCTTCCTTCCACTCCTCCTCTCCAAAAAACGTTGTGGAACGGTGGTTTAATGGTTAGGGTGATCGACGTTCAGCCACTAAGTCCCAGATTTGAATCCCACTGCACCTACTGCAGCTTTGCCAAGCGGCTCACAGCCAAGTACTATGTGAACAAGTTTATTGAGTTTTATTTTATTTTCTTAGTAGTAGGAATCTCAGACTAATTTGAGATATGAGATAGCGAAGGACAACACTTATAATCCAACAAGAATATGGAAATTCTCCTAATTTGCAGTCTAACATTGTAATATTTCAATGTTTAGTAGTAAGTCATGAAACCTTCGTCACCAATTCTGTGTAAACTCATGTCCATCCCAACTGTTAATTACAACGTCCTTATTCCACTCTTACGTACGTTAAAGTAGCCGCTTATCATGCTTAATATGTAACGAAAGACAGAATCTAACAAATACCACTTTCGGAAGTGTCAAAAACCGTTCTACATTTCTGATGTACAGTATGATAAGAGGTTATCAGTATCTGTTAACTGAATGATCATACATAACCCGTGGCTGTACAGAGATTCCTCGACATTAATTGATGGATTGTTATCCAGTGAATAAAGCACTTAAGATCCATAAATGTACAGAACTCTATGACTGTGGTAAGCATAATCATTCACTACTTTTCAAAATATTCACCTGAAGCAGCCAAAGTTAAGATGACAGTGAGTAGTGTGTGAGGATAACTTTTTAAAGGCTTTCAAACACAGACTTCGAATACACATCATACGATATGGAAGTAGATATTCATTCAGACTGTTCAGCATAGAAATATATAAATAAAGAGTTAGGCCAACACCGTTGTAACAAGCAAATAAATAGACAAAGATATCTTAAGGGAAATGTCAAGATGCTGTCACTAATATCATTACAATCACAACAGTATCATGACAGTTCACCTCAACTTAAGGTTAACGAACTGCAGTTTGAATTTCTTCTAGAAAAGAACAAGCACGTAACTTTAGGAAACACCCAGAGAAACCATCAATTTAGATATTTTGTAGGCTTGTATTCATAATCTCTTCATTTCAGAACGAAAACGTTGAAGAGATATGACGGTCCCAAATCTCCACTGAATTCGATGAGCAACTTTTCCATTGAACCGACAATTGAGACGCTACGAAAAGCTCAGAACCAACAAGCAAACTGTTATAAACGGGTTTCCTATTTACATACTAACCCGGTGTAAGATAAAAGCTGATTAGTATTGTATTCTTAGCTAATATTACTTCGAAATTCGCTGAACTGACAACTAAGGAAAGTGAGACAGATTATCAAATACCCTTTGCTACAGGAATTATTTTCACAATCTTAGAGATAGAATTCACAAACAGCTAAGCCAAAAGAAGTTTCTGTATTTTACTAAGCACTTCGCTAGACAAGTTCAACATTTTTAACTGGAGTATCATGATTTCTACACGTATGTAGACTTTTGAACAATGTATAGTTATGTACGTGTAATAACATCATCAAATCTGGCAATATAACACCCAAAAAAAGAATTGATTGAGCGTTATTAAAATAATTAATTAGTCACCCGATTCCACTCAATGAGAACGGCTGCAGTTAAAAAGCAGCACAAATCCATAGTTATCAATACAAATCCATGTATAGATTTTACTTCTAGGAGTTGATACCCTATAATTAAACGAGGCATATATATGCAACAAGTTCTTAAGGTGGGACTTCGGTTTAGGGAAGATCTTAAGTGATATCATAATTGATCTCTTGCATCACTTAAATATGATCTAATCCGACTTAAGACGTTGAATTTAAACACATACTATGTAAAGGGGAAAGAAACGTCGAACAAAAAAACTGAGCATACCATGGCAAGTTTAAAAAACCCACGTTTCCGGTATCTAGGATATTTGATGAAAATTTATTTCTATCGAATATATAGTTTAAGCCTAACCTGATCAGACGACTGTATATGCTATGTTAAGTTATTTTAATTTGACTCTACTGCAACTTTATCGCGTGAAAGTAACTTCTGCGGTATTATTAGCTGCTCTGTACACTATAGCAGCTGTTTGGGTATTATTTAGTCCAGACACAACAGTAATAAACTCACTGCTCCCCAACAGGTTATGAAACGTCAGCCTTCGCTGATTAATTTTTTCCGTGTAGCAGTAAATAAACCCGTAAAGTAAATAGTCCTGTAAGTCTTCTATATTGATGCTAATCTCAGTTTTACTGGACACACCCTAGCTGAAGGCTCTCGGTCACACATCTGCACCAGGTCACGAGTAGGTACGTCATTCCACGCATCCTTTGCAACCCCTAGTCGGATTAGATCAAGTGCTTCTCGGCATATCGAAATCCTTCGGACTCCATCACTTCCTAATTCCGATTTGACTATGCGGTTATCCTGCTATTATAAAGAAGTTACGTATGAACGCGTTGTCAAACTTTGAATATCTGAGATATCTCTAGATGTGACGTGTACTATTACATTCCTATCTAGATATATATTACTCTTCCAGCCGTTATTCTTCTTTACCTAGCGTATCTTTACAATATCGTACTCTGCAACCGGCATCACCCGGCTATGTTCTGTCTAATGCACCTTCAACTTGATCTTTTTGAAAAATTAAGTGGATTTATCACCAATAATCACCATCGGTGTTCTACACTTCTTTGTTTAAAATAGGCGAATTCTCTGATCATCAATGTCTATGGTAATAAAAACTTTAGGACTATTTGCATATAGTAAGGGAAGCTAGGAGATGTTAACCTATCGTTCGTCAATGATCGGCTAAAAAATCATAAGCATCTATATTTTGTCCGATATGTGTGAAATAAAAGATACTATATGTTGTAGATTCCGTGCGATGTAGTCCTCTGGATACTTAAGTAAGCAATAACTGGTGCCCAAGCATTTGAATTTCAAGTGGAATACTTCATGATTCACGTCATCCCACATTTTACGGGAAGTCAATAAATCTTATTCTCGTGTGTGGAATGTATTTCATTGACAATCCCCGTTTACTTCACTATATCAACAAGTTAATATTGGAGGATCTATGGATAAGAGATCATTATTAGGGTCACTCAGGATACCGTTTTACCAAACATCTCAATAGCCCGTATAATTGCAGGGAGAAGCGAAATGGATATGCCGTTTCAGACTTTGGTATTGTTAATCACTTCGTATCTTCGTATAACACAAGAAGCTAGTTCACCCTCTCAGTGAAAACCGTCGTGGATATTCTATTTAATGCCCACTTGATTTGTTCTGTGGTACTGTAGGAGTATTAGGTGGTTGGAGGCGGTAGGTATGAAACTGTGACAGCTTAGGTTGGTTGGTTAAGAGTTGACCTCAAACAACCAAGCATATACCAAAACAATGTAGTTCAAATATTTATTCACTTCCTTATTTTGTATAAGCGTTATATTTCCTATTATCTTATATTGAATGTTGGGAGGCTTTGTTTGTCTAACTAAATAACCCCACGCTTCACTGTGACTGCGCGAAGATCGAAATAAAGACCTATTCACTACTTGTCTGGTTTCTTCTATCAATAGCACGATGGTTACCTTGAGGCACGAAACTGGTGAGCCCTTTTTGAACACAAATTTAACCTCATTTCGGTTATTAACATTGTTTTTTTTACTCAACCGTAAAAGTAGACCTGATTATCCGTAAACTAAGTTGGGTATATAAATAGTTCATTTTTTATTATCTTAAGTTATTCGTGTTACAGTAACCACTTTTCGTGCTAATTTTATTGCTATATTTGTCACATACCTCATGCCAGACTCAATAGAAACCCATAATCTGGAGGATTTGTCACCAGTGGAGATAGACGCTGCTATGACTACGAAATCCCGACTTCCAGAATTTGATCGTAGTGATCCTGAGTTGTGGTTTGCTCAACTAGACCATTATTTCACGAGACACAATATCAAATCTGAAGGGATTCGCTACAGAGACTTGTGTTCTATCCTTCCTCCTTCAGTCGCCAAAGAAGTCCGTGACTTGATTTTAAGTCTACCATCACCACAACCATACACCATCTTAAGACGAGAGATAATGAACTGTTTATCAATATCAGACAGTCAAAGAATCCAAAGACTTTTTCAAGGTGAAACACTAGGTGATCGGTCGCCGTCACCTCCAAATCTTAGTGGGTGATAACACTTGTTAATTGCCATCCCCGATTTGCAGTCACACGAACAGCATGTACAAGCAGTGTTGAAAAGACTGGATGAACATGGAATAAACATATATCAAAGTAAGTGTGTTTTCGGTGTTCAAATTTTAGAATTTCTCGGTCACACAATAAGCCCAGAAGGGATTAAACCGATCAAAAAAGAAGTAGACACCATCAAACAATATCCCGTACCTAGTTCTCTAACACAACTGAGAAGTTTTCTAGGTCTAATTAACTTTTATCGCAGATTCATACCAGGTTGTGCACAATTAATGCAACTTTTGACAGATTCATTCGAAGTAAAACCAAAAGAATTCAAACTGTCTTCTGACGCCGTCGAAGCTATTAAATAGCTTAAAGATAAATTAGCTCAAGCAACTACGTTAATGTATCCGAATTCTCTTTCCCCACTTGCTTTGATGGTGCATGTGTAGTGGCATTGGACCATAATCACACAATCCTCAAAGCTGAACACGAGACTACTCAGAAAATAGATATTCAATATTTAACGCAGAGAAATACCTAACGATGGGGAAGGCGCGAACAAGGAAGTGAACGAATTGAAGTTGATCGGATGGCATGGCTTGGCCATGCAGGCGTGCTCCATCTGAATGTTACCTTATATCTTCTATTCATATTAAATATATTGTTCCTTCTCTAACCTAACCTTGTTCTTCATCATGTATTGGTAATTGATACGATACAGTGAGTTGGCGAAGTCGATGGTGTGACTTCCACGTAAGATCTTATAGATTAGGCAGTTATATCATGACAAATCTACAAATTTAGGATTAGGTCTATTATTAGAGCAGTACTAATATCATAGTAGACCATAGTTCTACAGATGCTTCAGATAAAGCAGTAGGCAGTGCCCTTAACCAACTGGTTAAAAACACATTTATGGACTATCGTTGATTGCTGACGGAATTAGTCATCATTGATTAAAAGTCAGACAGTGAGCGAGTTGATAATTTTGCTTGGGTTGGAAAAACAGAACTAAGGTGTTTTTGATAGATGCGTTAATCGAACCGACGTTCCTATGGAAGTCGATTCTAGGGGGAAGCTAATGTAACAGCTTCGGTTGGTTGGTTAAGAGTTGACCTCAAACAACCAAGCATATACCAAAACAATGTAGTTCAAATATTTATTCACTTCCTTATTTTGTATAAGCGTTATATTTCCTATTATCTTATATTGAATGTTGGGAGGCTTTGTTTGTCTAACTAAATAACCCCACGCTTCACTGTGACTGCGCGAAGATCGAAATAAAGACCTATTCACTACTTGTCTGGTTTCTTCTATCAATAGCACGATGGTTACCTTAAGGTACGAAAAAAACATAATTGCAACAGGTTCTGTGTTAGTTGATGCGTGTCGACAAAGTGTAGCTGTAATCTTGAGGGAACTAGAGTTCACCATGAGGCTCATACGCACAGTATATAGTTTCACAGTTTGAGGCCTCATCACACAGTTACTCATGACGCTACTTAACCCCTATGCTCTTCCTTTCACTTGTTGTCAGGTGTACTTGTGCTCTTGTTGCCTGCCTCCTATTTGCACCATCATATGTTTAATTATTTCTATTTTTCTTCTTTGAAGAATGAGAGCTAGGACTTGACTTGCAATGTAGTTTAGTGGTATACGTACAGTGTTTCCTGTCTCCTTGCAGCACATCTTACTGCTGAGCTCCTCAGTTGGCACCTGGCCTGTTCTCCATCACGGCGGGTTATTCCTGGAGGTCTCTGGTGATGAACTACGTCCAGCGTATTATCGAACAATTGTCCACAGAGTCATGAATTAGTCAACAAATGAATGCCACCTTGTAGATCTCGACAATGGTAGTTTACACTGCTACTTCAGAAATGGTATAGCTTGGATTCCGGTAAAACATTAGATACTCGTTCTTTTCCGTAGTAAATTCCACAAAAACCGCATGAAATTATCTTAACACGTAGTTACGTAGAATTATAATCTACTTCAACATCATTACTGCTCTGCACAACTGCACAATCCAGAAAATACGGCCGCTACCAAACCGACAGCTTTGTGATATCACTGGAGAATAGTAATGGGTTAAACATTAAAAATATACAATAAGTACTTTAAAAAAGTAAAAAGTGTCCTTTCAAGCTAGGAACAATATTTCAACCGAAAAATAGGCGGGAACATCACTATTTAACTAGTAACGGAGTGAGACGTTAACTGTACTAAACAACAAATCTCCCAAAATTTAGGATAGCTTCTATCATGTAGTGGACTCGTAGGAGTGTAGTGTAGTGTCGAGTCGAAATTGACTATGAACACCACTACAAAGGAACGCGTGCCAGGATATCCATAAAATACCCCGGAAGCCAAATGTCAGAAGGCAGTTAATGGACCAAGTCGAGATATATTTGCTGGAGATCTCGTGGTATCGAAAGAATACGGAGATCGTGCCAGGATACAATCTTGGTTACTGAGCGTAACCGGATTCGCGCGAGGTCACAATCGAAGTAAGTATAATGGACGTTTTTATCACAGTTAAACGAAGAGCACATCAAAACAGTCACTGGTATAATTGGTTATAATAATCATTGTTTTCATTAAACCAATCGTGTTCTCGTGATAAAAGTAAGTCACTACAGGAGAACCTAATCAAGTATCATGATATGCAACGCAAATAATAATATATAAATTTAAATTCTAACTCCATTTGCTTAAATAGCCAGTA